CACCCTACTGCACTCCAGCCTAGACTAGACAGACCTACCTCTAAAATAAATAAACAAACAAACAGACTTAATGACCATGGGTAACTGAAACTTCAGCAAAACTATAGATGCAGTGGGAGCTAGTATTATAATAAAATGCCCATGAGTCCATAGTGAGTGTTTCTCCCATTTCAAATAATTTACCGTCTTATTTTTGCCCTAATATAAATTCCTCAACAGTGCCCCCGGTACAAGCTAACAGTTATTTGGTTAAACAAATGAGCTGATGACTTTTATCATGACCATCATTACTTGATGGTCATGATAAGTCATGATAAAAGTCAAGAAAGGTGTCTTCTTTCTATGAAAGCAGAGCAGCCAGTGGGGAAAGAAAGAACACTGACCTAACCACCGTTGCCCTTCACCAGCCCGGCCCACCTAATTTCCCTATGAAGTAGCACAGCCATTCTAAGAGGAAGAAGTTGAATTGGCTGGTCTTCCAGGCCAGAGAGAACATGGCCAAGGCCATGAGGCCTGAGGCAGGCACACAGATGGTATGGGCTCCCTCCCACCTCCTGCTCATCTGGCACCTCCCAGGCTATACCTGGAACCAGAAAGGTGCTCCCTGGACAGGCCTGTCCTGAGCAGAGGCCTCAGCATCATCCTCTGCCTTCCTGGTGAGGACAGACAGCAGTGAGGCCCAGAATCTCAGAACTGTCCCCTACATTGCAGCCTCTGCCGGCGACCTTGCTCTCCCAAAAAGCCTCACACACCCCACTCCAAGAAGCTGCATCAGACACAGCTGTCCAGGCCAGTTCACTGGCACACATCTCAAAGTGCTGCTGCTTCAAACCAGGAAACTGAGGTCTAGTCACACCCTTCCCCATCTCTGAAATGCAGGGGCGATCAGCGGGGAGTCAGTGGGGTCAGCCACAGAGACTAGCTCCCAACAACCCTTCTCAGTCACTGATGTCTGCCCACCAAGGCCCCGGGGATCAGGACTGCTTCTATGGCCTTAGCTCTCAGCCCAGGACACGGTGGGGAGCAGCCTAGTGAGTAACGCCCAGGCCCCCAAGGGGTGGTCCTGCCATAAATAATGCCAAGGGCACATCCCCCTCCAAGGAAGGCCAGACCTGCCTGGGAGGGCTGCAGAAAAGCTGCACTCTAGCTGCAAACAGGAAGGGATGAGCCTGCTCAGATGGTGAGGTCCCTATCCTGTTACCTGCCACTCATGGCCACAAAGGACCAGACACCCTCCTTGGGCCAGGGAAAACATGCTGCACCTCCGTTTGGATCCCCGGCTACCAGGGCCAGCTACTGGGGATACCAGGACTCTGCTGGTGTCACCTGGCCTGGGAAGGTCCCGAGCAGCTCAAGCTGGCCACACGCCAGCCACAGCCCTGGCCACGGCCCCCACCTGCCCAAGCCCATTGCAGCCTGATCCCTGTCCTGAGCGCGGGAAACAGGTCTGCCAGCACTAACTCAAACTTCACAAAGAAACCATTTCTGGAATGGGGCTCCGTTTGGCGATTCGGAGTCAAAGGCGCACTTCATAGCTCCTTTCCAAATCCCGTGCATTGTCAGGCCCCGTTCCCCTTTGAAGCCTCGCTGAGTGATTGAAGCGTCTACTTTCTGAGGGGCAGATAGCACAGGGCTGGTAATCTGACTCTAAGCCACGGGATAAAGGTAGTTTGTTTCCTCTCAGCCCGTCTGTCAACACCTCCTCAGTAATTAGCCCTAATTATTACAGAGGGCCAGCCTCCCATTCGGTTATTAAATCAGAAATAGTATCACGGCTGGGCATCTGTCAACGCCCCGACTGGCGACCTTCGATTCATTGAATCCTCTGTCAGTATCCGCCTTTGGAAGCGCCCAGGCGGGCAGGGAGGCAGCGGCTTCAAAGATGCAGATCCCAGGAAGAATTCCGGGGAGGCAGAGAGGCAGGGAGGGCAGGTGCCCAGCAACCCAGTGGTGAGGGCAAACTGGGCACCACCCCCTGGGCAGCAAGTGACAGCCCGACCCCAGCCATTTCCTACCTCCCAGGGCTGACCGATGTCAGTCTCTCCGTGGCAGGGAATAGGTATGCCCCCAAAGAACTCCTTCCCTTGGAGAAGGAAGCACCCCCAGGCCTGCATCAGGCACATCCGTCTCAGGGAGTGGTAGGCAGGCTGCAGCCTTGACTGACAGCTTGGCCTAAGTCCCAGCAAAGCCCTGCACCAGCTCAGTGCAGGGTGGGGAACCTGAGCCCCAGCTGCCCAGAGTACCGGTAAGCTGGCAAATCTGCAAAGCAGAACTCAGATTCCAGCCGGAGACACAATTTCCATAGTGGAGCTGAGAGTGCTGCAGTCCTATAGGCCCCGGGGAAGGACAGCCACCCACCTCGCTTCTGGGCCTGAATCTCTTCCCCATCCTAGAAAAATGGCCACTTGCGCTGCCATAGGGGCCTTCTGCTCTGGCAAAGCACATCCAATCTGCTCCCCTAGGGGATGGCTGCCCCCCCCCAGCACGATTCACATCCTCAGGCCAGGAGCCGGGGCTGACCTCACCTCACTTGGGGCAGTGACCCAGGTCCCCCAGGGCTGGCCACCAGCATTCTCCAGAGGTTGAGACCCACAGTGCCCAACCCTACTGCCACCAGGAGCTCCTGGCCTGCAGTGAGCCAGTTGAGGCCCAGCATGGTGCCTACATGCCGACCCACACCAGGTCTGTGGTGCCCCTTCCAAACAGGACCCACTGTGTATGAGGGAGGGCCCCAGAGACCAGTCACTTGTGCTGGGGACACAGGCCATGTGGCGTGATTCATTCCCAAGCAGAGACGAGTAAGTTCCTCTCACCAGCCCACTGCAGCCTGTTCTTCCGCAAAGCACTGCCAGTCCTTTGGGTCCTCATGGCCACCAAATGCCACACTGGCAGGACCAGGCCCCACTGGGCCAGTGGGGATGGGTCTCATGGAGACAAGGACATGGGTTCGTTTTCTTCCTTGGAAATGTCTGGAAGCCTCATGGCTGGGGCATGAGGAGTGACCTGCTGACCAGCCCCACAGTCAGCAGGGGCGCCAGGCAGGCGCTGAGGCTCAGACTTCTCCTTGGCACCAGGAGACAGGCTGCCCCAGCTGGGCCAAGAGGAAATGCCAGCGTGCAGAGCCACCAGGCTGCAGGGGCAGGCAGGATGGGCAGGCGGGGTCTCTCTGTGAGCAGGCATCTCATGTTGTGGCTGGGGATGTCCATTGCCCCATGAGTGGGTCCCAGGAGTCTGGCAAGATGGCAGGAAGGAAGCTTGACTTGGGCATTTTTAGCCAGCCTGACCCAGGCACTTACGGGCAGAGGCAGGAACCCAGCCAGCAGAGAGGACCGGCCTTTTTGCCTGGGATGAACACACGGAAAAGCTTGCTGCTTTACAGGAAGCGTGACATTCCTATGCACCAGTCCAGCCTCTGCTTGGAGGCCACCCCGGCAGGGAGACAGACAAAGCTCATGGAGAGTGCGGGATGGTGACCAATCCCCTGGGGCTGCTGCCCCTGGCCTAGGGGAGGGACGTGCCCTGGGAACTTGGTTAGAGTTGGAGGAGAGGTCCCTGAGCATGCTGGGACTGACACTTGCTGCCAGGGCCTTGCCTGTGTGGCTCCTCCTGTGGCAGAGGCCACCGTGGGTGGAAAAGGGAGGTCCCCCATCACACATACGCGGTGGTGTGGCCAGATGTATGTCTCATCAACTCCCGACCACCCAGCTGTGTACAGTCGGCTGCGTACCTGCCTACACACGCATGTCAGCAATGTGCTTGCCACACCCACATCCACAGACACGCAAGTGAGGACAGAGGCCGGCCTCCTGCTTGCTCTGCCCTGTGGGGTGCCCTCATAGCCCACTCCATGGGTGCTGCGGGTGGACCCCTCACTGAGGGCCCCCCTGTGCACAGCCTGTAATAAACAGTCCTAGCTCCATGACCCACAAACACTCCCCAGTCCCCTGCACTGTTCACACACACAGGTGAGGTGGGCAGTGCAGGCACAGCAGGGGCAGGGGAGTCACATGTCCTCTGTACCCAGCTGGCAGCCCCACCAATGGGTGCACAGAAGAATGTGGCAAGTACATGAGCACCTCCCATCCATAGGCCCCAGCCCTGTGCTATGGGGTCCCTGAGGCAAGAAGGAAAGGAATGGGTTAATGAGGGCACCCCAGAGGCCTGGGCTCGCCTCTGGCCAGCCCCCACCTACACACCATGACCCTGTAACAAAGACGATATAGCCCAAAGAGGAACTGAGGGAGTGACAGGTCCTGCTGTCTGGAGAGCAGGCTTGGCCAGGCTGTCCAGTTACACGGCACCCCCAAGGCCCGCACCAGCAGAGTGTGAACGGTGCTGGGGCTGGGCAAGGGCCACGACACCATCCTCTCTGCCTCTGCATTTGTGATTCAATGTGTTTTAAATCTTGCCAAGACAGGCTCGGCGCAGTGGTTCATGCTGTAATCCCAGCACTTTGGGAGGCTGAGACGGGCAGATCACGAGGTCTGGAGTTCAAGACTAGCCTGGCCAACATAGTGAAACCCCATCTCTACTAAAAATACAAAAATTAGCCAGGCGTGGTGGTGCACACTTGTAGCCCCAGCTACTTGGAAGGCTGAGGCAGAAGAATCGCTTGAACCCGGGAGGTGGAGGTTGCAGTAAGCCAAGATCAGGCCACTGCACTCCAGCCTGGGTGACAGAGCGAGACTCCATCTGAAAAAAAAAAACACCAAAAACTTTGCCAAGGCAATTTGAAGAATGGGGACATGGGAGGGTTTCCCTATGAGATAATCAAGACTTATAAAGCTAGAATAACCCAGGAGGGGACAGATAGGAACTGAGAGTAGGCGGGTGGGCCAGGCGCGGCCTGTGGGTAGCTGCAGCCAGGCTGTGAGTTGCTGCAGCCAGCAGCTGATGCTGGGGCAGGCTGGTGCCCTGTGGAAAAAGGTGAAATGGGATCCCCTGTCGGTCAGGATATAATAGGTTATCCTGTGGAAAACACAAGCCCCAAACTCAGTGACTTCACACATCAAAAATTTATTTCTTGCTCATATTACATGTACATCGCAGTCGGCAGAGGGGCTCTGCTCATCGCAGGCTCTCAAGGATGACAGTAGACCCCTCCCTCCCACCACAGTTACACTTACAGGTGCACTCGAGGTTGAATGTCAAAGGCAAAAAGTTACAACCTGGGAATACAGGATAATGCTTTGTACCCCCAGGTAGGGAAAGATTTCTTAAGTGAGAAACAGAGTGTCGCGTACAGCACAACCAGGCACTGCCCACTCAATAGCTGAGGCTTGGCCATCCAACGTGCCTCAGTATGGCCCCAGAACCCAGGGCCTGGGGGACAGGCATGTGGAGAACACGGCCTGCTCAAGATAGCACTGTCAGGAACAGCAAAGATAAAACCAGAGAAGCCCATCTCGGGCACTGCTGTGAGCAGAACTGTGTCCCCCCAATATTATGTTCAAGTCCTAACCACTAGTACTTCTATTTGAAGACAGAGTCTTTAAAGAGGTAATTCAGGGTTCATTGAGTTCATGGGTGGGCGCTGATCTCATAGACTGGTGACGTCACGAGAGATTAGGGCACAGACACAGACAGGGACACGACAAGAAAGTGGACATCTGCAGGCCAAGGAGTGAGGCCTCAGGAGAAACCAACCCTGCCCACACCTTGATCTCAGGCTTCCAGCTCCAGAACCATGAGGAAATAAATGTCTGCTGTTTAAGCCCGTCGGCCTGTGGTCCTTTGTCAGGCAGCCCCAGCAGACAAACGCGTATGTTGCTCTGGGATGGATGCAGGCCATCCTCCCATCCTTAGCAGCAGCACCAACCAGCCCCGCATTGGGTGGCTGCTCATACTTCATACTGAGCACCCCGGCCCACAGGATGATCAGCTGCTCCCGTCCTATGGAACTCAGGTGTGGTTCTGTGGCTTCCTTTGGCCACAGAAATGGAAGCGGGGTGACACACATCACTTGTGGCCTGCTGTGGTCTTTCCCCTGCCTCAGTGAGCACGGAGAAATATGTCCAGGTAGGCTCTTGTCAGCACAGGTTTGACAGGCTCCATCCATGGTGGCCGCCAGGTGTGAGCAAGAAATAAGCAGTGTCAACTGTAGCACTACCGCTGGAGATCTTTGTTACTGCGGCACAGTCTGGCTCATGCCGACTGATCCTGCAGGGTAACAGTTTTATTTGCCGTGCTCCTTTATTGCTGGATCTTTGGGCTTTTCCAGTTCTGCTGTTCAAAAAACAGTGACACCCACAAGGTGGGTGTCAGAGGGCCTAGACCCCAGCCAAGGCGATGCATGGGCACCATTCTCATTCAAACCTTCTGACCACCCCATGATGAAACACTATGTTCCCAACTCAAAAAGGTCAGGTGAGGACCCTCAGCTCATGAGGGGAGGGGAGAAGCCAAGGCCAACCTCCAATCCCTGCTCTCAACCCCCATGTAGTGGCACCAAATCATGACCATCCCTGGCAAGAGCCTTCAGGCACCTAGCAAGCAGTCACAGCATGTGTGTTCCTAGAACACACACCTTATGTGGTCAAATTGTAATACTGTATACTCCCACCAATAGTATGAGAAGGCCCACTTCTCCATACCTCCACAACTCTGGGCATCTAAAACTTTTTAAATCCTGGAATCACAGGCCAAAAAAATTCACCCATATTTCCCTCTAGTACTTTCATAATTTTAACACTGAAATCTTTAATCCATCTAGAATACATACTGACATAAAGAGTGAGGCATGCACTTGGCTTTATTTCCAGAGGGCCAACTGAATAATCAATCTTACCCTCATTAATTGGAAACACCTCTAGCATGTATTAAATCTCCCTATTTATTTGGCCCTGTTTCAAAGTTCTCTATTCTCTGCTCATCTGTCCACAACATCTAAGTATTTTAATTATTGTAGCTTTATAAAATATTCCAATATCCCATAGGACCTCATCCTTACAACTTCCTATTTTAAAGTTTTCCTTGGAGACAGGTACTTTAAACACCCTCTCATAGCACCCGTCATGTCCTATCTTCAGGAAATAAAATCTCCGGTATTTCCAAGGGAAGTGAGGGACAGACACCATGATTGGAAAGCAGGGCCAGCACCATGGCCTGTCCCTGAGCACACCCAGCAAACCCTGCCAGGTTCTGTGACTCCTGAGCACCCCCGCTTCGGGTCTGTCAGTGAGTGGGGGCCAGGAGAGACAAACAACCCAGGGAGAGTGCCTCCTCTCCTGGCCCTTGGTGCACCTCCCTCCCCAAGGAGCAGGAAAGCAGCTCTGTCATCTCTGTCTGAAAGCAGGTGCTGCAGCAGCTGGCAACAAAGCAACTCTGCAAGGGGCCGTGTACTGCCTGTCTGGAATGCCGTGCCGGAGCCCATCCCTGCCTCCACCCTACCTGTGCAGGAAACCTGGACATCACCACTTTAAGACCCTGCTTTCCTTTCTAGAGAGAGCCCAACCACAATGAACAGGACCCATTTTACAAATTAAAAACCAGGTCACCTGGACTCTCCCATGGGCTCTCAAGCCTGGGAAGGCTAATGCTGTGCGACTGGCCCTCAGACACATGGCAGACCATAACTCACACATCCCCAGGAGCTGCCTGGGTCTCAAGAGCAGAAAAAACCCAAAGCCCCAGTAGGACAGAGTTCAGAAGAGAAGGCAGCAATCCCAGGCTGAAGGATCCACTTCAGGTCCACTAAAGGGAGATAGGAAGGTGGCCTGCCCAGAAGCCTGTGGGATGGGGTAAGGGTCAGCTGGGTAACTAGCCTGTCCATCCCAGAGGGCAACTCTGGGTTCTATTGCCAGACCCACTGGGAAGCCAGGCCACAGTGCACCGGAGGCAGGCATGGGAGAGCAGTCTAACCTGACCCCTCAGGCTGGGGCCTGAGCCATTGGATAGAGGGCAGCTGTGTGACCTGGCACAGAAGCAGGGGACTGGGCAAGGACGTCCTGGACTTCCCACATCTGACCAAAATCAAGACTGAACATGGGTTTCTTCTGCCAGCTTACTTGCTTTGCTACAGGGGCTATACTCACTTTCTAACTATAGCTTCCCACCTATTTCCAAGGTTTCCAGCTGTTTTATCTACACGGTATTTGTGCCCTGAAATAACTCACACATAAAACCATCTGAACCCAGAGCCTTTCCTAGTGATAATTACCAAATAAAATAATCCCAACAATTTCTATTTTTCTAAGTTTGTTTTGTTTTATTGACAGAGTTTCACTTTTGTTACCCAGGCTGGAGTACAATGGCATGGTCTTGGCTCACTGCAACCTGTGCCTCCCAGGTTCAAACAATTCTCCTGCCTCAGCCTCCCAAGTAGCTGGGATTACAGGCAAGTGCCACCACACCTGGATAATTTTGTATTTTTAGTAGAGACAGGGTTTCTCCATGTTGGTCTGGCTGGTCTCGAACTCCCGACCTCAGGTGATCCACCTGACATACAGGTGTGAGCCACTGTGCCCAGTCAGTTTCTGAGTAAGTTTAATCAGATGCTTGATAATGAGTTTTTCCTAAAATAGTTAGCTGTATTTTCAATTCACATTTCTGCTTTTCCTTCCTACTTTTTAGGAAGGTGTTGTTTTGTTGTTTTCACAATCATAAAACTGAAAGAGGCTTGAAATTCTTGTCCAGGCACCAAAGTGGGCACACACTGAACACACTGGGCGGCTGTACCTGCCCATCCTGTGGTAAACTTGGCTCCAGGAGCTTCCAAGCTCAGCTTCCACTAGAAAACCCCTCCTTGTGCGGAACAGGTCTTTCTTCATTCCAATCCTCTGGGCCTGGGGCCTCACAGCTCTGGATTGCTGCCTGGTCCTCACTTCACAGTTCTCCACCTGCCGAGCACCCAGCCCCACCTACTCAGCCCCAGCTCCTTCCATCAGACTCTTGGACCCTCAAATCCCCTGCTAGAAGCCACACCTGCAATGCTGACCTGGAATGTTCATGACCAGGCCTCTGCTCCTGAGAGAATGGAAACGGGGACTCACTGGTTGGCAGCCACTGCACCACAGGCTCAGCCAGTAATCCAACAGTTTAATGAGCACCAATTGTGTACCAAGCCACATAGCTGACTAAGACAGAGCCCCTGCCCTAGAGGGTCAGTCTGCCAGGAGGGAGATCCAAGTCATTTACATCACTGGGGTTAATTGCTGAATGGGCTATGCACGGGAGTGCGCAGGGGACAGCAGCACAGCAGCAGGGAAGAGAAAGCTGCTTCAGAACACCAGGCATGACTTGAGTGCTAACAAATGAAGGGAGAATGCCTGCAGCTAAGCTTAACAAGGGGCTTGCATCCCATCTTCCTGCATCCAAACCTCCCAGCTGACTAGGACTGCTGGTAAACCCACAGGAAACATCATTCTCTGCCAAGATGCCATCCCACTCATCCAGCAGAATCGAAGTTGCCACTTCCTCCCGGCAGCCTTCCTCACATTCCAGCTGGCACAGAAGTCACAGGGAGCAGAGATGGTGCGGTTAGGGGGACACACAGAGACCCAAACAGGAACCAGATCCCAACAGGGCAGATGTGGCAGACCCAGTTCAGTCCCAGCCAGTGTGGAAGACACCAAGGGGGGTGTTTTGTGGGGGTGGAGGTGACAAAGATGATGCAAGTACCTGCTGGGAGTTGATCTACAAAATGACCCCCTCGTGGGAGCAGGCCTGGGCGAGACGGCACTCCCAGGTGACGGGCAGGGACGCAGCTGACAGCCAGCGGGAGCAGGGAAAGGGCACAGGGCGGAGGACAAGCTCTGCTGGGGTCGGGGGAGCTATTTCTGCTTAGGGCAAAGTCCAAAACAAGCACACCTTGCCCAGCTATGGGGCCGTCTGAAATCATCTGGGGATGCCACTCTCCTATGACAGGGGACTAAGGGGCTCTAGAGCCACACAGGCCACTTCATCACGAGGCACAGCATTGCTCCCGCCTGGGTTGCGTTCAGAACCCAGGAGAAAGTGGTGGCTCTCCTGGGGTCTCCGGGGCCCCCACCACCTCCTGTGGGGTACCTGAGGATACCTCCTGGTCTCCCTCTGTCTCCGAAGTCTCCTTCTCTGTTTTCCAGGGTTTCAGATCCCCTGGGTGAGCTGGGTCTGGTCTCTGGGCAGAAGAATTAGCTGACTCCAACAGTCTAGGGACAGGTGTTGGGGCTGCCTCCTCTGGCTGAGAGAAGGCTGGGTCCACAGGACCAGGCTTGGAGCTACATGCAGAACTGGGCAGGACTGGGGGCTCCCTGGGTCCAGGAGTGCTCTCCTTGGTCAGCTGCTGCTCAGGCAGAGCACTTCTGGATATAGAGCTGGACCTAGACACAGCAGGGGTGCCCATGGCCGCTGGTAAAGCCCTGGGGGCAGTACCCATGTTGAGTGCCAGGCCCTCCAAGAACCTAGCTAAGTATTGCCTCACTGCAGGCAGCTGAGGGGACGCTGGAGGCCGACTGGAGGCCAGGGGCAGGGGACAGGGAACCACCTCGTGGTACTCAGCAAAACTGTTCGGGTCTTGAACAACCTCCTTGAGATCCCGGCAGAAGAGCTCGTAATCGTCAGGCAGGGGCAGGTCCCCAACAAGGTAGGGGGCTGCCCAGGCCCGGGCTCGGCCTGTCAGGCGCCCAAGGATCTCGTAGACACGGCTGGTGTTGTCCTGATAGTGCTCGAAGCGGAAGGACATGTAATCACCCAGCTGGGCCAAGAAACGGTCCAGTAGCCATGGGGAGCCATCAAAGGTGCCTGGGTCCGAGCCTGGCACCCAGCAGAAGTCCACCCTGCGGGGTCGGGGGCTGGGCATGCACCCCGCTAGAGGACCCCTTTCTGCGAGCTGACTGCCAGGAGCACCACTAGCTGTGCTCTTCTGCTCCATGATCGTCCGCACACACACAGGGTCCCCGCAGCAGGGCCGCTCAATCCAGGGATCCACAAGGGGGGTGCATGCCACCCCAGGAGAGGCCTGGTCCATCTGCTGCCATGGGTGTGCGTTGGCATAATTGGCGGCTGCCCAGATGGGAACGCGAGGGCCCTGCTGACGGCAACGGCCGCGAGGCATGCTGGGAGCAGAGGGGAGAAGAGAGGAGAGCCAGCACAGGGGGCAGGGTGCGGACAGACGTGGCTTGCACGACACAACAGTACAGGGATGGCTGAACAGGGTGTGGCAGACCCGCACTGGTCCAGGCAAGTGCTGAGGATCAGGGAGCTGACAGCTGCAGCCTCAGGAGAGCTGAGAAGAGCTGAGGGACTGTCAGTCGCAGGCCACCATCCGAGGCAATCTGTCCAAAGACAAGGTGGGGAAGAGCAGGAACCAGGCCTAACCATCACCACTGGACTGGCGGGAAGAGGCAGCAAGCAGGCAACCCTCTGGTACCCAATTAGGATGTCTGAGTGGAAGGAGGGGCCCAGGGGACTGGCCTATGAGGTCTGAGAAGGTGGACAAATGCTGCCTATGACAATGCAAGGGCAAGGTGGAATGACAGCCGCTGTCAATTTCAGAAGAAAAGGCACCAGATCAGAACTGTCAGGGAATTTCAGGATAGCAGTAGTAGCAATCTTTTACTGGATGCTCCATTTGCACCACCTCCCCGACATGAGGTTGGTACTAGTATTGTCTTTGAGGCACACATTGCTGAAGTAACTCGTCTGCAGCCACACACCAACCCATAAGTGAAGTAAGCAGGAGAAACTGGCTGGAGACCACAGCCTTAACCACGATACAGCATGCAGACTATAAACTACATTTGTCTGCTGAGTAGGTTCTAGCCGCCCCAAAATCTCTGAACAACGCACAAACAGCATTGTCATTAGGTTCTTTTACATCCCAGCACCAGGCACACAGCAGGTCCTACCTGCATCCCTGACAGCAGCAGGGAGCCTGCTATTATCTGCTCCCTCCGGACCCCACATGCTTTCCAAATTCACCTCTCACAACTGAATGCCACCTGCAGGCAATGTCACCCCCACCCCTAAACACCACAGTCCCCATCCCAGCCACAGCCCAGTATCCCAGTCCCCCACTGTAAAATCCTGGAATCCCACTTGCTTTGTCTGCTCCTGCCACTCCAGCCACTTGTGCCCTGGGTCTGGGGAGTCTGAGTTTGATGACTGAACCTGCCCCTTCTTCTCCACGCAGCAGTCACCTAGGAGGCTCCACAGTCAGCTGGCACCGTTCTCTCTGAGTGCAAGGAGTCCTCTGGGGGTCTCACACTCTCCAGCCTAACTCTAGCCTCCCCCCAGTCTCTCTGCAAACGGAGACCCACTCACGACCTCCATGAAACTCTGTTTCACCCTGCATACAAACCACCGGCTCACTGGGAGCACAGGGCCTGCACACACCTTCATCCCCAGTCTCCTATCTGCTCGTCATCCCCCTCAGGATGAGTTGGTTCAAGGACCTCCCAGGGTGGCCTGCAGCACTAGAACCTATCAGGGCCACTGGCCCTACTTCCACTACCAAAACACTCTGGAACCCCTCAGGTCTGACTCCCCTCTGGGGAGTCTTCACCTGAAAGCCCAGCCCTTGACCCTGGCTTCCCACCTTACTGTAAGATTATACTAAGGCCTGGGGGCGGCAAACCCACAGGACAGCGCATGAGTGAGTCCAGTCCAGCCCCTCACTGCACTCTAAAAAAGCAGTGACCCCAAGCCAGGGCCCAGCTCCTACCCCCAGCCAAGTTTAGGCATCCAGGTTACCTGCAATGACCACACCCATGCCCAGGAGCCACAGTGTGCTACCCAGATCTCTGCCTTCCCTTCTCTCCAGTCCACCACCCTGCCCACTCACCTGCACACCTGTGTCCAATGGAGCCTGGGAGAAAGCTTCCCTGCGCCAGCCAGCCAGCCAGCCAGGCCTGCTTCAGCCTGAGCCTTCCTAACGCTGGGCCACACTCTCACCATTTTAAGAAGCTTAGCCCTCCCACGCCTATCAGTCTGTTGGTCCCCCTGCGTCTCTCCCCACACTGCCTTGGCACAGGGGACTTCGGCCCTTCTGAACTGCACGGCACTACCCTAAAGGAGCAGGTACCACGGCGCATGTGTACTTGCCCCCACAAGGCCAAAGGCAGCACCTGGAACGTTGGGGCGTTCTCTGCTCTGGGGAGACCCAGGGGCCCCAAGTACAAAACGTGCCCAAACCCTTAAATAAGCAAGCTGAGTGCACACGACTGCACCGCCCGCCCCCCAGCAACCGCCATGCAGGAAATACGAGCTCACAAGCCCCACGGCAATAAGACGCCCACCTACCCGCCGCTACGCGAAGCGCCCGCGAAGAGGGTCCAGGGATCCGCAGCCAGAGACCGGGGGACGGGCCTCCCTCCGAGGGCGAGAGTCCAAGCGCCACCTAGAAAGTGGAGAACGAGATCGGCCGCCGTGAGGCCAGGCAAGGCGCGGGCGCGACCTCCCGAAACGGCGACAACGGCCCGAATGTCTCCAGGTGCCCCCACAAACCCCCGGCGCGGACCGAGAAACTGAGGCCCGCAGGCCTAAGGCACTGCGACCCAGGCTGGGGCTCCGAGTGCCCCTCCGCGGATCAGAAGTCGGGAAAAGACGGAGGGGCGCAGCTCCAGGCCCGCGCGCACGGAGTTCCAAGCCGGCTGCCGCGGCTCCCGCCTCCACACTGACCCTCCGGCCCCAGTCGGCGACGCAAGCTCGGAGCAGAGCCACGCAGAGTCCAGGGCCCGACTGCGTCGCGCAGCCACGCCTCCAGCGTGCGCGCGGCCGCCGGGTACGAACCCGCGCAGGCTCCCGACACGCCCCACGCGCGCCTCCCAGCAGGGCCGTGCGCGCGCGCTCCACCCGCCGCGCCTGCGCTATGCGCCGTGTGGGCGCTGCCGCGGGGACCTCCCGATCCCTGCTGGCGCAGTAGCGCCGCGCGGTGAGTGATGGGAGCGCCCATTCCCACGTCGCGCCGAGCGCCACCGGAGCAGGTGGGGCCGCGCGTGCAGGCGCGAGGCGGTTGGGCCAAAGCTGCCCCCATGATTCCCAACGGGCGGTGCCCGGCGGTCCCTCAGATCCGGGAAATCTGCACCCGGCTGTGGCTTAGACCGAGGGGCCGATGCTGCCTCAGCCCGCGATTACTGCCCTGGAGTCAGCGGGACACTGTGGGGGCTGCTGGGCTTCGAGAGGGCTGCTGGGGGCCGGGCTAAGCCTGGGGGGCTGCAGCTGTCGTGGCGGGTGTGGGCATAGCGGGACTGCTGGGCCTCGTGAGCGCCCTGGAACAGCATGCCCGCGGAGTGCCTCTCGCCACCCAGTGCCGGTGCTGGAAACCTCGTTAGGGCCCGGTTCGACGTACCTGCGGCCCAGGCGCGGGAGGCAGGGGGCAGGCAGGCCAAGAGGACCCTCCACCTGCATGCCTAGGGGCTGCGGGCAAGGCCTCTGGGCCTCCTTGCTGTGGGTGTAGGTGTGCTTCCCGACCCAGGCCGAGGCTGGACCCTGAGAGGACAGCGAGGGCAGGCTGCCAAGGCCTCCCCACCGGGCTGTGCCCAGCGCAAGCCTGTCGAGTCAGCACTCAGATCCGGGACCAGACCCGCGAGGATGAAGTGGTGCTCTCCTCCCTTGCACGGGCCGCCCCACACCATCTCTCCTCGGCTTCACGGTGCCTGGAGAAGGGGTGGGAGAGGGTGCAGGCGCCCCAGCCCAGGACCTAATGCCTGTGGCCCAAGGACCTGGATGCAGGCCAGGAGTCTTGGGGCCACGGGCAGCCAGCTGGATTCACCGGAAAGTGACGCTTCTGAAGGGGAACACACACGTAACACACCAGCTCCCTTTCTGCCCTGGTCTAGTGACTCCTTTCATGAAAACTCTCTGAAATGTTATCTGCATTTACACCCAAACTCACTCACTTTGATCCCTGAAACGCGAATCAAAGATCACATTGTACCTTCCCTGGGTCTGTGGGGCTTTCAGCAGCCTGAGCCAAAAATAATAAAAGTGGCACCCAGCCAGGAAACGCCTTCTTGAAGTGGGAATGAAACTTGGATTTTTTCGGTTGTATCTTTCCTAATTGACCTGATAATTTAAACTTCCTCAAGGGAAAGGTGGGGGTTCCCACAAATTCAGCTTACCTCAGCCTCTAGGCAGCTCGGCCTACAGCTCAGCGCCCATCAGCAGAGTGGGCAGTGGGCCTGTGCAAGAGATTAATTCAACTAAACCAGAAAAGGCCTTTTTTGGTCCAAATTGGTTTTTTTTTTCTTTCAGGACCTCTCCTGTGTATACAAGTCATGCACCACATAACAACGTTTTGGTTAACATGTATAACTGATCAAGCTGTGGTTACTTTATTACTGAAGAAAGAAAATTTTTAGGCCAGGTATGGTGGTGGCTAACACCTGTAATCCCAGCACTTTGGGAGGCAAAGGCGAGCAGATCATTTGAGGTCAGGAGTTTGAGACCAGCCTGGCCAACATGGTGAAACCCCGTCTCTACCAAAAATATAAAAAATTAGCTGGGCATGTTGGCACTCGCCTGTAATCCCAGCTACTCAGGAGGCTAAGGCAGGAGAATCCCTTGAACCTGGGAGGTGGAGGTTACAGTGAGCTGAGATTGTGCCACTGCACTCTAGCCTGGGTGACAGAGTGAGACTCTGTCTCAAAAA